CTGGCTGTGTCACACCCCCAGGCAGGGAAGATGCTCTACCTGCTCTGCCGCCACGTGGGCTTCTAGGTTGGCAGAAGGGGTACCTGGAGGGTTTGGGGGCCCTGCCTTCCGCGCACGCGCGCCGCTGGGCTTGAGCGTGCAGTCGGTCGGGTGGGCGAGGGCGCCGCCCTGGTGGCGAAAGCGCCTCCTCCAGAGCCCCCCTGAATGGCGCCCGGACCCCGCTCTCCCCAGACCACACGTGGCGATGTGCGGAGGCCGGCTCTTTGAGCTGTGTCCCTAGATCGCTGACCTCTGGCCTCGACTCCCAGCTGCACCATCCAGAGGCAGGGGTGGGGTTCCAGCGGGTGGGGGTCAACCTGATTCTTCTGCGGAGGAGAAAGCTCCCGATCCCCTCTGCTCGTGGCCTGTCTTAATAGCTGAGGGTCATCACTCTGTGGCCGCATGGTTTGTCCCTTATCACTCTGTCACTAAAGGAGGTCCTGTGAGCGGTCACTCCAGGACGGCAGGGTGGACCAGGGCTGCCTGGGTCACCCCAGTCACACAGGTGCCCTTGGAGGTGCCGTGGGACCGGAACCAGGCTGGCCACGCGGCCCCGTGGTCGGCATGGCCATTAGAGCAGATGCGACTCTCGCCCGCACCAGAGTGTGGGCCAACTTCACCTCTTCATCCTCACAGCAGCCGGCGAGGCTGCTCCACCCCGCTGTGCAGTGCGCGGTCAGCGGGGATTCAGAGCCGCAGACGCTCCCCATCTAATAAGCAGAGAAGACTCAAGACCTTCTGACCCTGACAGTCATCAGGCTCTGTCAAAAATCAGGTTCCCACCATGTGGCAAACGTCACGATTATTGTTAACAAATGGCAGCTGAGGTGGTCATCGGCTCTTATCTTGGGTTTTAATCATCCCTGTGAGGTCTAAAGTCTCAGTGGCTTTCTGGGTTGGTTGGCCAGTCCCTGGCTGAGTTGGGGATCTGAGAAGCTGGCCTGGGGTGCAGTGGCTGAGTCCAGGCGTGAGTCTCCTGCCATCTGCTCGGCTGCTCTGCAGGCTGCTCGTGCGTCGTCAGCCTCCCCTGGGCTCTGAACAGATGAGGCTCTCAGGATTTGCTGGGGTGGAAGAGAAGGAGCCCTGGGCTTAGCAGGGGCAAACCTGGTTTCCGGAGGCTCTGCCCCGTCTGGCCGGCCTCTGTGTCAAATGGGGCTCATAAGGCTTGGGTCACTGGTGGGGCTGACATCACGCATGGGGGTGGGGATGATGGAACATGGGGCATGAAAGGGCTCTGAGATGCCAGTGGGAACAGACTTGATGTGTGCTGGCTCGTGAGGCTCAGTGGAGTCTGATACATTCCCCACCTTGGGAGCCCATACCACCCTCTGGGAGAATCTCACCCTGCCTGAAGGCCACCTCTTCAGAGAGGCCTCCGTGATTGCCCCGCCTCCGCCAGCAATCACAGGAGGGACGGGACTCAATGGTTCTGTGGGTCGAATGCCACTTCCCGTTGCCATGATCCTTTGCCTGGTTAGTGTGTGTCCCCCCGCCCCCACTGACCACCCAACCAGTGCCCTCTGAGGGTAGGTGATGGGGTTTGCTCACTCCTGACCCCCACCCAGCACCTACCATGGGGCCTGGAGCCCAGAGCGTGTTTGGCAGGTACCTGTATGAATGGAAACGTGGTAGGGGAGACCCAGGCACTGAGGGTACCTGCAGGCTTCCTGGAGGAGGAGGGACTCTGTTCTGGTCTTGAGCATGAGGAGGTGTGTCCAGGGACATTCTGGGGAGAGAGAAGAGGGTACCTGGAGGTGTGACTCCTACAATCCCTCCCCCTCCTCACCTGTGAGGGAGGCAAGGGCAGAGGGGCCAGTGGGCCAGGCTGAGAAGCCGGAACTTGGTTTTGTAGGCCATAGGGCGCCATGGAAAGTATGTGAGAAGCAGCAGGGTGGAGACCACCATTGTGTCTCCAATCCTGTGCCAGGCCTCGCTGTAGGGGGGTGGCTTGCCAGGTGGGTGGGCAGATGACGTGGGCTCTTGACCTGAAGTCTAGTCTGGGCTGGAGGTGGGCTGCACACTTACCAAACCTGAATCAAGCTGCCTTCAAGAGACAAGGATGAGTGTACCTCCCTTGATACCTGCCCTGGTGAGGAGGCTGGGCTGGCTGATTGGGTGGGGGTGGGGGATGGGAGGGGTGGTAGACTAGAGACCCCAACCAGGTGGGGAGACCAGTGGGCCCCTGGTGCCTCAATGGTAGAAGCAGGGCTGGCCCAGTGGTGGCCCTCTGGGGGCAGATCTGTGCTCTCCCATTTGGTTCTCTGGTTGGGGTCCTGAGCTGCCTGGGGGTGTCAGGGACATTGACAAGGAGAAGGCATAATGACATGGGTGAGAGGCCCTGAGACCTGGGCCCACAGCGAGGTGGGGGTCAGGGAGGCAGCGGCCAGGGGCTCACTGTGGCCTCGGAGGACACCCAGGCCTGAGTGTCCCATTCTTGCCTGGACCCAGACCAAGACCAGAGGAGAAGGGGTGGCATCCTCTCTGGGGTTCGGGGATACAGGGGCCACACAGGCAGCACCAGGCACTGTTCTGAACACTTTTCATGCCCCCATCCATTTATTTCC